AAATCTCAGATTTTACCCCGTAATTCTTCTGAAAGTGTACTATTTTCTCAATCCTCCCGATGAACCAATGCAAATTGTACCATAACACGTTTTTTTAAATATTTTTGTTTCTTTCGGTAATTCAATATTAATGGTAAAATATGTTGTACATTTTAGTACCTGTGTACCCTTATAGTACGAATTTTTGTACAATATTTTGTACAGCGCATCATTTAATATACAGAAACCTGCCTTTATAGGGAAGATTTTCATTAAAATTGCAGAAATTTAGTATTTCTGGGGCGTTTCGTGTTACAAAATCTTCATTGGAATAATTATCGGTAAAGATCCCACCCATTATTCATTACATGGGAAGTTGCTGAAAATAAACATCAATACTGTTATGGTAGAAATTTTAGAAACATTTGCCTTTAAAAGTGCCAACAATTTAGTACTTGTGGTGTTCAGCTATTTGTTTGCATAGTTTCATTTATTTGTATATGAAGTCTCCCTTTTTCACTAGATCGGAAACCAAAATTCATATAATCATTCGCTGTAGTGTTGATCCATGTGGGATTGGAAACCATATTTCATGTAACTGTCAGTAATTTTTAGTAAAAATTTTCGAAAAATATTTCCATAAAAGATTTTATTTGCCATAGTCAAAGATAAACAATAAAATTCGGATATCTGTATCTAAACTTTCCCATTAACTAATTTTTAGTAAAAATTTTCATTGTTTTTCATAGAATACAATGTGTCGTACTTTTTAGTACATTTTAGAATTTATTTCAAGAAAATATTTGTTTATACATGTTTATTTTCATAGTTCCAGGTATGTATTTAATAACAGGTTCCTGTTTATCCGTTCTATGGTACACAATATTTAGTACTTGTTAGTACCGTTAATTGCAATTTACTAATTTTTTTGCGTATTCCATTTGTTTATAATATACAAAGCTACATACAGAATTTCAGAATTATACTTTTTTCCACACTGTGCAATATTTTGTATTTGTGGTGCCATATAGTACGAATTTCTATTAAACCAAGCATCTTATTTGTACTAAAAGTTGAACATTTTTGTACTCTAAATATTTAGTACAATTTTCAAAAAATGTTTGTGCATATCGCTCTATTTGTAATAGTTAAGCTACATACTAAATTTCAGATTTCAATCTCTAACTTTTCCATTGTAATTTAATATTTTGTACCTTTTTCAAAAATGTATTACTGTATATTATACTATTTGTACAAGTTTAATCTATGTGCCTCGTTTCAGATTTCTATTTTCTATTATGCTACAGTATTTAGTACATTTTAGTACTCATTTCAAAAAACATATGCGTAGCATTATATTTGTAATAGAGTAACTACATACTTAGTTTCATATTTCTACCTGTTCCATTGTATTTTATTATTAAATACTTTCTATCACCACTTTAGTACTAATTTCCAAAAAATGTATGCATAGTATTCTATTTATAATAGTGCATGCTATAGCGAAGTTTCACATTTCTATCTCTATCGGTTATATTATAATATATTATTTATAACTTTTTAGTACATGTTAGTACTAATTTCCAAAAAAATATGTTTGTCCATCATTCTATTTGTAGCATAAGTTACATTCCAATTTTCATATATATATCCTCACCTGTTCCATCGTAGTGTAATATTTAGTACTTTTTAGTACTAATTTCCAAAATTCTGATTCGCTTATCATTGACAAATCTGTATAACAAATTTAAGAGTTCTACTTCATACCGTTCCGGTGTAATACAGTTTTAGTACATTTTAGTACTAATTTCAAAAAAAGAAAAATACTTATACAAATCATTATATTTGTATTAGGTTAAGCTGCATACCAAATTTCAGATAACTACCCCTACCTGTTCTATCGTAGTAAAATATATAGTACATTTTAGTACCATTAGTAGTAATTTCCAAAATTTGTTCACTTATTCTGATTTGCTTTTCATTGACAAAGCTGCATACCAAATTTCAGAGTTGTATTTACAACCGTTCCAGAGTAATACAGTTTTAGTACCACTTTAGTACTAATGGCAAGAAATATTTTTGCAAATTATTCTACTTCTAATAGTTGAAGGTACATACCAAATTTTACATATATATATATATATATATCTACCGATTCCATTCAAATATAATACTCGTGTACTCATGTGTACGAAAAGTACTATATGGTACTATATTTGGTACAAATTTAATTCGGACATTCAAGTCGAGCTGCAATCCAGATTGAGATATGCACGTAGTTTTGATTTGTTTTTTACTTATGTGTACGAAAAGTACTAAATCGTACTATAATTGGTACAATTTGAATTTTTCGGTGAACCCATATAGCTGGAATCATGAAATTTGGAGTCATGATCACTGTTGGAGTGTAAGATTGAGATATGTAGGAAGTTTGATCCAGAAATTTGTACTAGTGTGTACTAAATTTGGTACAATTTGAATTGTGGGTTAAACGATAGTGTTGGAATCCTGAAATTTGGATTTAGGATCACTGTGGGGGTGTTAGTTTGGGTTAAGTAGGAAGTTTTGGAAATTCGTGGGTGATCCAATAGAGGTGAAATCCTGAATTTTGTATCATTGTGGGGGTGTAGGATCGGGTTATTCAGGAAGTTTTGTTGGATGTTTGAGGTGAGTACTTATGGAAATAATGTGTGCTAAATTGAACTAAATTTGGTAAAATGTGGATTTGGGTGACATTTTAGAATTCGAATCATGAAAGTTGGTATTAAATGGTACTCAAATTTAATTTATGGTCTAAAGTGTGGATTGGAGTTTTTCTGACATATGGGCACTTCCGCAAAAAGGTAAACCAAAGTCGAAGAATTTGTTTCTTTAATTATGCTTAAATACGTAAAGGCAAAAAATACAAAGAAATACAACATTTGTCATTTTTTCTTCTCGTTCTTAGCATAAATACTAATTTAATGACAAAAATGCAGACACTGCAGAAATAAAAATTGCAAAATCAACAATGTCGCGTGAGTGACCGAGAAAAATCCTTCGCAAATAAAGGATATGTCATATTTTGAATTTTTGAAAGTGCAATAATAATGCTTGGTATCTCTTATTCCTGTAAAGAATATTAAAAGTTTAAAATATTCACACAATTCGCAGAGTTTTCCCATTATTAGTAGTGATGTCTAAAGTCATGTATATTTGAAGTCGGGTGACCGCTCTTTTGTGGCTTTTATCTCAAAAGTTAAAAACTAGAGGCTCTCAATTTTTTTTACCACTGATAGTACTCCTAAAGTTCTACAAAAAAGTATTAAGGGAGATTTGTAAAAAAAGTAATTGTTTTCGATTTATGTAAGATTTAAAATTTGATTTTGCCTATGAAAGTCGTGTAAGCGACTGCGGAAGTGCCCATATGCAGTTTTCTGTGAAAATAAAATAATATGTTAATACAATTTAGATACTTCCCACATTCGCTAAAGAAGTAGCGGGCATATGCTAGTATTGGATATATTTACTTTATGGGGTCTCTGGTGAATATTTCGGAATGACAAATTTAATATATTTGTGATGGACTTTTATAAGACTTCTGACTTTTTGACTTTATATAAATATACTATTAATAAAGTCTGATATTTTCAGACCACATAGAGTTCTTCATTGGCTTTTATCAAGTAACTAACCATCTGCAGAGAGGTATCGTGAGAAGTTGCACTATTGAATATATACCCAAGGCTTTGGCATATGTGGTATACACTTTTTCTGACTTTTATATAAATACTATTAATAAAGTCTGACATTTTCAGACCACATAGAGTTCTTCATGAGAAGTTGCACTATTGAATTCAGCTTCGGATTAAAGGTAGGTTTGTTATCCAGTCGTTAATAAGAAATTTACACATTTTTAAAAGGTTGGCAAATATGACGGACAGTGTCTGAAGCACAGGCGTAATTCCGTTTGTGGTTCAGACACTGTGAGGTAGGCCGATAGACAGGTACTCACACAAATTTCTCCAGATCTCTTATTGGTTCTGAGGTATCTTCTTCACCGCCACTATTTGATACCAGACGTTTTGCAAAATGTTCCTTCCAGATCCTCAACAATAAGTCTGTATACGTCACCAGATTTTCTTCTGCATTCCTACAGGAGAATGTGCCCATACCAAAGTCGTCGGTTTGGTGTATTACTCGTTGCTAAAATTTCCGGCTTCCGAATCAATTTCATGCCGTTGCCGGATGTTTCTTCATGTACTCTGAATTTTCCGACGGTGGGGCAAAAAATATTTTCCATTCCAATTTTTAAATTAAAACCTTTAGGCGCTCGTAAAATATGTCTTTGTCTTCCGTCGGAGCATGGGCGCAAATAATAATTGGAATTTATTTAAAATAACCTCCATATAAAATGCAAAGGCATTGCCATAACAAAATCGACTTTGTAACGGGCCACATTGCCAACTCTCGCATTAAGTGTGGCAACTCTCTCTCTGCTCTCTGCCTTTGACAAATGTTTTCGATCAGCTGTTGTTTGTTTGGACCGTGGCAGCAATACATAACAAATTAAATCGAAGCATCCGTCGTCCGCCGTCTATTTGTTTATTTATAACAAAATCTGATTGAAGTGCGGTTGTTGTGTTGTTGCTGTGTGTGGCAGGAGAAAGCTTTCAAGTGTTGTGACCGTTTGAACCGGGAAAGAAAAACATATTTCAAAAGATGACACCAAAAACGCTGAAAATTTCATAAAACATACACACAAACACAGAAAAGCTATACCAGCCACAAAAGACTCAAGAGAAAAGGCTATAAAAAGCAAGCAGAACCAGAAGATACACGAATGTTGTCATTGGCAGTGAAGTGTCGTACTATTAGTAGAAGTGTGTCATCGGTGTGCAGTGAGTGAGTAAGTGCGTGAATGCGTTCGTTCATTCATTTGCTGGGAAACAAATGTGCGTGTGCAAGAATAAAAAAAAGTGGATCAACTATTTTTTGCTGTGATAAATTATATAATAGAAGAATACTAAACGAATCCGCACATGTCTCATACCAATGCAACTGCAGTGCCACCCGCTCCACCAAATTTTTTGCAATGTGCTGACAAGTCAAACAATTCGACGCCACAACGGCAAAAACCCCAACTCGAAGAATGTCTGTGGTCCATTGATCAACCGGAATTGCAAAAGGCCTGTTTTCTTGCCAGGATCTGTACAACGAGGAAGCCGAAATCATGTACTTACTATAATATAAATAGTATACTACAGGTGGGACCAACTTGTGGTTTGACAGCGGTCAGCATGCTGCTGGGAGGCCTGCTGCCACCCACTGTTCTGCTGCAAGAGGCCAAGGAACGTCATTACACCTACAATGGTGAAATGTTTAGTGCCCACAATTTGTTTCAATTGATCTGTGATTATTTGCCCATTATCAACAACAATAACAACAACAACGACGACGTCACCATTGACAAAAACAGCCGGCCATGCAAACTAAATGCCAATGACACAGATAGCCGAAACACAGCAACAACAACACCAGCACAAATACCTCAACAACAACAACGACGACAAACAGCTGTTCATCAGAGACCCATCGAATGCCAAATGCATGAAGGTCGTTTAAATTGTGCCAAGGTCAGAGATGCACTGCTGCAGGGAGCTTGTCTATTTGTACCGTATCCTTTTCAAAAAACAAACTAACGAAACAAATAATTATTTTTAGATTTGGTCGTCTATGTAAGTAAAATGAATTGAGAATTATTTTATTACTTGTGGCTATATATACGTATGTGGTGTTTGTGCCTTGTTGACCATGCACACATTTATGTGTTTTTACATGGCGCGTATAGGTAATTAAAATTCAAATGAGATCGTCGGTTATTTTTTGAATAAATTTGAAAATTAGTTTGTAAAGAAATTGGTCGGTCTTGTAAAATCAAAGTAAATACCAATACATTGGTCCTAATATCGACGACCTAACGTCTGTCTTTCCATTCATTATACCTAAAGGGAATAATAATTGTACCTCTCAACATTTTTTTAATTTTTTTTAACACACTTGGTGTGATTAAGTTGGTATGGATTTTAACTAATAGATATATCGATATATCGCATAGTTCGGAATATGTGTTCACTTTTAACTTTAATCGATCAAAGGCCAACTACTATAAGTATATTTAATTTAAAATTAGATTTCGGATATTAAGTCAAGTTTAGGAACTATACGTTCTGCTCGCTACAATGTCATACATTATCACCAAATGTCGACTATACAACAATAAACCGAGTTGAGACCATAAACTTCAATTAAAGGGACCCCCCATTCTCGATTTTTTTATTTTTAAGATTTTAAATGGGCTGGTAAATGAATACCAATGCTTGTTAAGGTTTGTAACTTGGCACATATATATTTGAAGATTTAAAAAGGAAGAAAAATAATTTACCAAAACTTGTTGTTGTTTTTTGGATTCAAAGAAAAGTCCATATTTTCGATGGCGGGCATGATAACTCCTCACTGGAACATCGGAATCCGAAAATTCCAACGGTGTTAGAAAGAGGACATGTCTGGCTCTCGTATGAACTAGGATAATTGACTTCGCACAACAATTAACAAAATGGCGGAACTTTGAAAATTTTTTTATGGAAAATCGCCTATTTTTTTACCACAAACTAAGTTAAAAAATAAGGAAGATCTTCACCGATTGGCTTTATTCTAGTTCATACGAGAGCTACACACTCCAAGAGAAACGTGTCAAAATTTGAAACCGATTGGATTAGTTTTTGAGTTATCGTGCCCGCCATTCGTTTTGAGAAAAACGCGTTTAAAGTTTGAGAAGCCCTTTAGCCGTCACTTGATGCTGACACAATAAATCGGCTATATATTCAAGAGTTCTTGAGATGTTCACTTGGAATTTTGTAGGAACATTCTAGAATTAGAGTAGATTCGAATTAAATCAAAAAAAAATTGATACCGAGAATGGGGGGGTCCCCTTAATTCCAATTTTCTACGCATATCCAACGTTAATGATAAAAGTCTTCCAAATAATTATAACATTCTGCGAAAATGTGTCATTATATGGAGGCTATGCGTATATGTGAACCGCTATAGGTCATTTTCGCAATTGACAATTTAGTTTTGTATCTCAATACCTTTCTAAGCTAGTATAGGATATAAATTGACTATTTCGAGCCATTCACCATCCTATAGTGGAGTACGGTTATGAGGGCACAACACCAATACGCAAACCAAATATGATATCTGTTTCAATATAAAATGGAAGGGAGATTTGTTACCAAATAATAATCCAAAATAGCAAATTACAGCAAATTTGTTGTAAAACGTTTCAAAATTTCTGCAAATATCGACCCAAAAAATTTCAACCATATTAATAATTTTTGGAAGAAATATTTGGTCTCAAATAAGAACCCAATATACCTGATAATAGCCAATTCGACCAAGAGATTTTCCAAAATCTTCAAAACATCGATATTTTGGGGGTACCTTTATATGGGGACTAGCCCTAAAAGTGGACTAATATTAATAAGGTAGAAAGATCTAGTACATGATAAACACAATATAAAGTGATAATTCGTAACCCCGCCTGCTCGTAACAAAAACCCCGTCCTATGAAAAAGTCGCGACAATTCGTAAAAGTGCCATACATTTCGATCCCCTCGATATTTCGTAAAATTTTTCCAACAAAATGTCTAAATACCTGATTTAATTCGTAGTTTATCGTCTTAAACTTTAAATGTTATTCTTTCACTTCTTTCGTGTTTTATGATGTAGCGGGTTCGCTGCATTCTTTGGAGGAAAAAGAATAGTGGTTAACTGTAAACCGCATACTTGTGATCCTCCGCTCTGAAGTGATCCATCGGGTTATTTACATTTTTCTGCTGCTCAGTGAATTTAAATTCAATGCCATAAAACGGGCGCACTACAAGGCGCTTCCTATTCGCATAAAGCTTGACATCATAAATTCTGTGAACAATGGTGAACAAATTTATGTGGCGAATTTATACCACTTATACATTCAGTTGTCGTTGTTTTAACAGGCTACATCTGTCGCTGTGGTGACAATCCATAGCCGAGTTGAACTCGGGTTGTTCCGGAGCATAGATCCGATTGTCGTGGGAACCTTTTCTATTTGGTAGGCAAATTTGGTTTCCAATACTAAATTAGAGCTAATTCCGTCAAATGGCCGAAATACCGAAAAATGGGAGTATTGTATTGCTATACCGATATATGGAACTTGATCTGGAGATCTGTGGATATATCCTAAAAACAATCTTTTTTGTGATAAAAAAAGGACCAAAAGTTAGTTGTAAACTTCCTGCTGATGTGCAACATAGCACACCGTAATAATTACATACGACTTTTCCGAAATCTTTTAATGTAAGGGGGTCTATATGTCGTATTTGTTTCGGATATTATTCAAACCATGATGTCATTATTATATTAAAATAATCAAACTACCAAAATTAAACACAAAATCCAGCACCTGTATTCTAATCTACAAAAATGTTAGGATAAAATACAACTTTATTTCAATACATTTTCGTATTTATATTCCCCATTATTTAAACTGAACCGAGAATTACTCTGACTGTTATATATGTCGATATTTCTGTGTGGAATAATGAAACTTATAAATAAGCAATCGGAAACAATTTCCACAATCCTGTAGGCCTATTCTGAAACTTGTAACAACATTCGACATTGTTTAATTTTCTTTTGTTATTGTAAAAACAACAAAACAAACAAATGAAATTGTTGTATAGAATAAACAATGTCGAATGTTGTTAAAAAGTTACAGAATAGGCCTACAGATTTTATTTTTCCTTTATAAATCTCATATATTTTATTTCATTTTAAATATGTATATTGGTTAATTTACTTAGTGTTATCAAAGTGCACAACCAACCATACGTTATGGCATTGCCATATGTGAAAACAAAATTGTCTTTGATTTGACAGCCGTCATCAGCTGTTTTGTTGACAACAAACGTTTATGTTGAGGTTATGCTTGCGTTTCTTTAGTTTTTTTAGTAGCGTTTGCAAACAATTTGTTGTTTCTCCGCCAAACATTCTCATAGTTATTTTAATCTAAATATAATTATAAGCATTTATAGAAAAATATGGCCACCGAAGAGGAACAAGTAAGTAGATTATCGATTTCTTAAATTAGAATTTGTAATAACACATTTTTGATACTTTTTTTCTAGACTGCGGTTGTTTTGCCGGTCAAGGAACCATTAGATTTGATTCGTCTCAGCTTGGATGAAAAGGTTTACGTTAAAATGCGTAATGAACGGGAGTTAAGGGGACGACTTCATGTAAGTAAAACTGAAAACACTATCTGCAACACAGTTTTTTCATACTCGGGTTTAGACATTCCTCTGAACATTAATGGACGACATTTTACAGAACGGTTTGAGACAACAGTCCTTGATGGAATGTAGGTACATATAATATTTTAGGTTCATGAAACCGATTGTAGCGCTTAATAGGAATTGTAAAATCAAATAGGTCCTTGGGGTTTACCCATGCAACTTTTTTTCCATGTATTGTATTCATTGGAGTGTTTGAAATGATTTTTAATGAATCAAGTCAATTGTCATTGCAGTTTAATACCTTTGAGCCATTAGCAGGGAGTTATAATGTAGCAGAGCATAAAGAGTTTATTATTTTAATATCGTAATCTGTTAGTAATAGATGAGGGTGTAAAGCTTATCTACAGAATATGTCATATATGTAGTCCGCAAACGAAAGAACCACAAAATGTGTAAAATTGTTAATCCTGAAGAAATGCCGTGTTCTCATTATTCCTATGGACTACTTACAGGAGACCACAAAGATCTTCCTCTGTGTCAACACAACAAGTTGTTTCCGATGCAATATTTACATACAGAATCAGTCAACCAAATTACCATCTAATGTATAGGCATCTAACGCTCAGACAAATCAGAAGTGATCTTTATGATCTGGAGAGAGGTCCAAAGATAAAACAGAGAGACTCTAGAGTCTAGACTGTAGTTAAATAAGCAGAGGATGAATATAGAGTGAATACGATTTTTAGGAATCCCCTACCACGGATATTTTATTATTTATTATTTTTAATCTCGATCAAAATTTGGTAAAATGCATTACGATGTTCCAAGTTTTGATCAAATGGAATCGTACATTCGTTTCATATGAGATCAACAAATTTTCTAACGTTTGACTATGGACCTGATCAATGAATAGTAGAAATATATAGGTTAGGTTAAAGGATGTTCAAAAACCAGACAGCTTACCCAAGGTACTTGAAAGAGCAGGGAATGAAAAGAGCGTAGGAGTAAGAGGAAGGATAGAAGAAGGTTTATTATTTTAGCCATGTCAAAAGTTTGGAGAAGAATGCTAGAGTATCGATTTCAAGTCTTCCAAACAGTCGATGTCTTCTGTTGCTTATCTACAGGAGATATGTTCAATTATTTCTAGCTCTCCTCATCCTCACATAAACCATTTGATGTCCCATCATACCATTGATGTCTCATTTAGATGTGAATGATCTAATCCTGACCTGTTATGACCCATATAGTGAGTTCGGGTTTCCTTTGCTCTGTGACAGCAATGAAATAGTTCCACAACGTGAACTACAGGTTCCTCAAAATGCTGCTGCCTTCCCTTAGTAGGTCTAACGGATGATAGGTGGTCGTGTAGATTTCTTAACCAATAGATCGGACGACTGTAACCCCCTAGAGCAAATTCATCAACAATTGCATTCGCATTTATTTTACAATGTTCTCGAACCCAACCAAGAATAATTTATGGAAGAGCGGTCATGAATCGCTTTTGAATTTACAGTGTACGACTTGTATACATAGTTTACATCATATTGGATAGTTCCTTTGAATGATATATGTTTATTTTCTCCAATAAATTGAAAATTTGGTGGTGGAGGTATCAGATGCAGGGACGGTAGTCTATATATTCGACTTTGATTTAAAATTAACTCCGTTTCTTCGTGAACACCAGCCAGAAGAACAGACAGACAATTTGTAAATCTACTCAAAAATTGACTAAAAAAGATTTGGTATGGATGTGGGGTCTGCAATCGAGAGTCGATTTTGAAGCACTACTCTGTCTTTTGATTTAAATTTTTACTGATTTCCAATTTTCAGGCTTTTGATCAACATTTAAATATGGTACTCGGAGATGCAGAAGAAACCGTCACTACTGTAGAAATCGATGAAGAAACCTATGAAGAGGTGTACAAGACCACTAAGAGGACTATACCTATGCTGTTTGTTCGAGGCGATGGTGTTATTTTAGTTTCACCACCAATGAGAGTGGGTTAAATAAAGTGTACATATAGTTTGTAAAAAATCTTAAATATATAAATATTTAAAAATAAATATAAATTTGATTTTCGAATTATTGCTATTGGCCATTTTTATTTTGGAAATTGGACATATTTCCCTGGATATTATATATTTAACATTAGAAAGTGAACTTTTTATTAACTTATTATCATTAAATATAAATGGTTTTCCTTAATTTGAAAAATTTTTTAAAAATTGAATAGCTACGATCCCGACTTCAATCATTCACCATGTTTAAAATCAGGTCACAAAGCCCATTGGGCTTTAATCATTGGTCACTTAATTGCAGATAACGATGAGGTAAATTTATTTCATCATATTTTAAAAATAAAATCTCTAAACATACATTCGTTTTTCTTTTTTTCAGTTTTATGTTATAGCACGACATGGTAAAGCTAAAAATCTTGCCGTTTGGTCTTTACAATCACTGAGTGATAGCAATGCGAATTTAATTGAATTTGCCCAGCCGAAAGGTTATCCCGATTGTGATTTTCTGCTGCCGCCCGGTGGTATTGGTGGAAATTTAGGTTTAAGAGAACGTGCCATTATTGTCAAAGGATTGCCGCTTGAAATTACAACGATTAGTTAGAAAAAATTCTAATGTATATAATGTCGAATTTATTTATAAGGGCTATACAAACAAATATATATGTTGATATTACATATAAATATATTTAATATGTATATAATATAGTGTAGTCGTTATAAACAAATTCGACTTTATATATTGTTTCATATATTGCTCTACTTAACAACGAACTTAATTTTTAATAGCCATTTGTAAAAATTTTGTATTTATTTTGTTTTGCCGATTTATGTTTATTGTCATATTCTAGCCATATAAAAATACCTTTTTTATTAAATTAAATTAAATTAAATTAAATATTTGTTTTTAAATATTTTATTTTGAAATTATTATATTGTATAAATATTGTTATAGACATTTTATATTACTTATTTTTTATTTTATTATTATTTTTATTATACATCCAAGGGTAAAGGGTTTTTTGTTTTATTTATACAACGAATGTAATAAAAATAAAAAGCAACTAACTAACTAAAGCAAAAAAATTAAGGAGGTGTTTCGTAAAAATAAGAAATAAAAATAAAAGCTCATGAGTTTCGGAAAAATTTATATTGAAAAATTCTCATTACACCCTCTACGAATCCGAAATTAAAGCCGATTTCGGATGTTACGGTACCTTTATAAAGGGAGGACATAACAAACACATTTTGGTACATTAAATTTTCAAGATTTTCAATGGGCTGGTAAATCACTACCAAAGCTTGTTAAAGTTTGTAACTTTGCAGATGTATATTTGAATATTTAAAGGAAATATATTTGTTTTGAAAAATTTGTTTTGTTATTCTTTTGTTGTTGTTTTATGGGATTCAAAAAATGTCCTTATTTTTGATGGCGAGCATGATAACTCCTCACTGGAACATCGGAATCCGAAAAGTCCAACGGTGGTAGAAAGGATACATGCCTGGCTCTCGTATGAACTAGGATTATTGATTTCGCCCAAAAATCAAGAAAATGATGGACCTTTAAAAAATATTTTTGGAAGATTTCCTATTTTGTACCACAAACCAAGTTAAAAATAGGGAAGATCTTTACCGATTGGATTTATCTTAGTTCATACAATAGACATACAATACACTCACGGAGAAACGTCCCAAAATTTGGAATCTATCGGATTATTAGTTTTTGAGTCATCGTTCCGCCATTCGCAAACACGCTTTTTGGAGAAAAATGCGCTTAAATGTAAGATTTTGGAAAGTTGTTGAGAATTTCTCTTGAAATTTCATAGGGAAATTCTTGAAGTGTAGATTCGAATAAAATCAAAATACATGGGGTGTCTCCTTAAATGTAAGATTTTGGATACATGGAACCCCGGCGCCACCTATCGCTGGTTTCTACAAAAGATTATTATTTAGGACACAAACCACAATAGTGTAAAATACAGTACATTAAACTCACATAAATACAGTACTCGTATTACGTTTTCCATATATCCTAGAAGAAAAATTAAGCGCACGGCTATCATAATATCAAATGGCGATATTACACTTCATTCTCTTTTACACCGGACGGATATCTGCCAATCTGTAGATATGTACTACAGAAACGGAACAACGGACGGAAAACGTCGTTAAGTTCTGGCGGGCGGAACTTTATCTACACAATGTTCATTAGATGATTTGTATGTGTATGCCATGAACAATTTTTAGTGTGGAGATTGGTTAACCAAAGAGAACCCAAAATATCAAATTAATGTCAATTCATAAAAAAGTGCTTAAAAGTCATATATGCATACATTTTTTCTCATGTTATTCATGATCAGAGGATTTAATCCACGAGAAAAATACTTCCCTTGAGGATCCAATTCCCCAAATGAAAATAAATAATAGCAAATTAGATTGAAAAGCGTGCACTTCTGAAAATGCCGAAAATAATGAGGAATATTTGTAGGAAGGTTTGAAACCAAATTGCAGCCAATTCGGTTGGGAAACGAAACCAAAATACCGAATATTGGAGGATACTATAAAAACAAAAGATGTACAGCATATCAAATCATTCTATCGTGATTTCAATAGACATACGGACATGGCTAAATCGATATAGAATATTATTAAATACCATTTATTCATTGCGGCGTCTACAGTGAATGGCAAATGGAATGACAAATTTAATATATACAGTCCACTTTACACAATTTTAAGCTAAAACATTTAAAATATATTAAGGGGACCTCCCCCATTCTCGATTTTCAAGATTTTCATTGGGCTGGTAAATGAATACCCATGCGTGTTAAGGTTTGTAACTTTACTTTAACTTTAAAAGAGAAGAAAATTAATTTGCAAAATTTGGTTGTTGTTGTTTTAGGTGATTAAAAAAGGCGTTAGTTTTAATAGCAGGCATGATAACATCACTGGAACATCGGCATCCGGAAATTCCAATAGTGTTAGAAAGAGTTCTAGAGTACTCAGTACGCTCAAAAACTAACAAATTTGCGGACCTTTGAATTTTTTTTTTTTTTAGAAATTCGCCTATTTTTGACCACAAGCTAAGTTAACAAATAAAGATGTTCTTCACCGATTGACTTTATACTAGTTCATACGAGAGCGATACACTCCCAGAGAAACGTGTCAAAATTTGGAACCAATTGGATAATAAGTCTTTAAGTTATCGTGCCCGCCATTTGTAAAAACATTGCTTCGAGAAAATGCGTTTAAAGTTTGAGAATCACTCTTGCCGTCCTTTACGCTGACACAATAAGTCGGCTATATCTTCAAGAGTTCTCGACATTCTTGATTTAGTGTAGATTAGAATTAAATTAAAAAACTGATAAATTTTTTTGACAATGAGAAGGGGGGAGGGGTGGGTCCCCTTAAATCGAGATAAACTGCACAAAATGGAACACTCACACGGAGCTCACGGATTAAGAATTTTAGTATTAAATTAATTTATTTCCCACATTCCTTCAAACACTATCCTAAATTGTATTTTTTTGACATTCTTTGTTTAACATTTGTTATATCTTTTTTGCAACGAAATGTACCGAACCCCCTGACGGACATGAATACCTTATCGACGCGAAGATTGAAAGTAGTTTCATTGACTTTCATTCCCTTAGACTTCAAATCGAAAAGAGAAATAACGAAGGAAGTTTAAAGAAGCCGTTGGAGACCTTCCAATTGTGGAGTATCAAGTGTGGTAACTTTAGCCGAAGGCACATTGACAATATGTTAATTCCGTATATTTTCTCTTTTACTTTGTAGAGAATTGTACAAATTTGGTGGGCGGGCCCTTATGCAAACAAAAGAAGATAATACAAATTGTTGCGATCAAATAATTTGTTACACGTTTAAATATTGTGTAAAACTTCGTCACTCGGACCCCTAGACCCACAAAAAAGCGCATAAAATAATTAATTTTGCATGCATTTTTCATAGGCAGTACAATGATAAAATGACTGTTAATTTCTTACCTTTAAGAAATGTTCGAAATGTAGTCCAACAATCAATATATACACCAGCTGCAATTCTATTTCAGTTTTAATGGGATTAAAGAAGACCTTTCAATTTTACATTTGCGGATTGCGGATTTAAATATTTTTAAATTTTGTGTTTATCTAAACGCACACACGAAAAGGAAAATAAATGTATGTATACACACGAACACGCAGATGAACCGAACGTTTTATTCTTTATCTACTTCGCATAACTGACGATGGAACGTTAAAACTTTTGTGTCATATTTTCTTGGCTTCTTGGCCGAACTTTTGCAAAATGATCGACAATTTTCTTAAAAATGTTCAACTATCCCACATTTTGTTTAAAATATTGTCTGGAATAATTTATTTTTCTATTCCAAATTTGTACAATATTTCCAAAACTTCCTTGGTTTTTTTTAATATTTCTTGAAACTAAATTTACCGACTACCACGACCGACATTTACACTTTATGAATGCGAAGTTAGAACTGATTAATATCAAACTGTTTTCTTTTTTTTTAATTTCCGATTGAAGAGAAAATTACCATTTATTGGTGTTAACAATTATTTTAAAGCCTTTTTTTATTGGCTCTTAAGCTTTTCTTATAAAGATAAGAGAATACCAAGATCACAAGAGAGGAAACATACAGCGAGTGAAATTGCATGCAAAACTGGAAACGGAACATGTCAAGTTTGTTATAAAAAAGCTTTTGCCTCAAGTACATATATTTGTTTCGCACTATTTTTTGCAAACATGGAAATTGTTGTTGGTATTTTATAAAAGCTTTTTATTCCCAATACTTCGTTGGGGGCAATCTTACACACACACACGATGAACCGAACTCATACATTTGTCCTAACTTTTTATTTGCGAAGCCGACGACGGAACACGAAAACTCTGTGGTATTTGTTGCAAAAGTTAAAGCTTTGTAACCAAACGCGCATTTTCACTATCACAAACTTGTGGAACAAAAGGGAATACATACACAAACGAGCCTATTGATCAACAATTTTCACTACTGCCATTCATTTTTGCAATATATTACATTATTTTAGAAATTTCTTTATGCACAATATTTAATTTAATATTAGATTTAGATTATTTTCAATATTTTACACTATCTTGAATGTTTTATTCCCTTTTCTTATGTTTTGCAACAAAATTTACCGAGCACCACGACGGACATGTATACCTTACGAACGCGACGATAGAACTAAATTAGTTTCATGCACTTTCATTCCCTTTGTCTTCAAATCGAAGAGAGAATTGCCGAAGGAAGTTTAAAGAAGTCATTGGAGTCTCTCTCATTGGGGAGTTTGAAATGTTATTACTTCAGTCGAATGTGCATTGCCAATATTTTAATGAATATTTATCTATGATAGAAGAAGATAGAGAGAGAACACTTGCAGTTAAAATTAGCAATCTGAAACAAAAAAGTCCTGATCAATCATGGTTTTTGAGCTATTACTACGTTGAACAAATGTTGGTTATTCGCTCTCAGAAATCAATTATTACATGTTTAACTTTTAAAAAACTCACGAAAGAGAATAAATATGATTAGCAATTAGAATTATTTTAATAAAAATGTAACAATTTGCACTTGATGAAATACAATTACTTTTC